TATTTTATTGCCACAATAAAATGCAACTAAGAAAATATCAGGTCCATAGTAAATGTGACATGCCCTATGAATTAAGATGTACATACTAGTAAAAGTATCAGCTGTTCTGAACTCCTGCTTAAAAGTTCACAAAAAAGTAGGCATTTGCCAATAACTCAATTTTTTAAAGAAGTCTACATTTTACTTTTGAGTACAGTGCATAAAGGCTTAACAAATCAAAAGATTCAATATGTGCCAAGTGAAACACCAAATTTACGAATTCCTTCTTGATTCTCATAATGTAAAAATACTCTATCGAGCTATTCTTTCAACTTACAAACAGCAAAACAGATTCACCTGTTTCAGAAATTGAGATCATTCAAAAAGGGAAACACATTAAATCAATAATATATTGTCTGATTCCCTTAAAATATGATTTTTTAAAGATTTCAACTTAAGTGGAATACCTATTGAAACTGCCTAGACATATACAAATTTTCAAATATTTATCTTTGATCTTAACTGAAAAGGCTCAACTCTTAAAAGGAACAAAAGACAGCTTCTATCCACAAATAAGATGAATTGTTATTTATCTCACTTACCAAATACAGTACTGAATATTACTAGTAATGATTGCCATTATTCAGAGTCACCAAGCAAATATTGTGTATGCAGTTTGATCAGAGCTCAATTTATCCATTAATACACTTTAACTTTTCTGCTGTGTCCAAAAGGTGGTTAAAGCGTGTTATATAATAAGGATGGATGTTTCCTTCTCCACTGGCATGTGACCATTCTAAGCTGTGCAAGTGATTCTGAGGAGTATACAAGGCATCAATTATCTACAATGTGTCCTGGTGAATATTTTAATTAGGAATTAAGGAGAAAGAATTTGGAAGAAAAATGCATATGAAAATGTGAACTGTGCATGCTGGGCACTGAATTCAAACGAGCACACTTTTTCTCAGCTAATCAAACCCCAAACAGTGCAGCTACTTATACATATCAGAACCACCTTCCCACCCACTCAGAAGTTGCCACTCTCAGGAAAGACACAAAAACAGGAGCTCAAAATTTTCTGACACCTGTTCCTCTTAGTTGCAAGCTTCATTTATTTAAGTATAGATACACGCACACGATTTAGGCATTAGTTTCCTAGTTGTGTTTTTTTAAAAAAAAAAAAAATCACTGTTTTGTAAATCCTACCACTCTGGTCAATTTCAATTCTGCCAACAGGAATACGCTATTCGTGCAGGCGCATATATTCAAGTATACAGTTTTCAGACTTGCGTCCCCATAACTTTCAGAAGAAATGGAGGGGAGGGGGCAGTCGGGTGGAGGGGGGGAGCTGTCCTACCTTTCCAAGTACTAAAATTTAAAGGTATCACAAAAGGCTGCTACAATGCTGAGGACCGAAAAAACTGACGACCCCCCTCCCTTCGCCGCCTAGCACAGTGTGAAGGATCCGGACGAAGCGTCGCGATTCTGGCGGGGGAGGCATGGAAGTGGGTGGNTCTCCCCCTTCCCTTCTCCTCACCCTTAAGGTCCACCGCGCTCACCGGGCACGAGCCCCTTCCTGCCCTTTCTTCGCTGGCGGAGGAAATGGGAAAGCTCGCTCACTCGCCGCTCTTTTTTTTTTTTTCCCCTTGCCTTCACCGCCACGATCCCAGAAGCCACCGCGCGCGCCTCCAGCGGCCGACTTGCCATTTCCTTCTCCGCCTCTCCTCCTCCGGCTAAACCCCGCCCCTTATACCCGGGTCGGCTTTCCTTCCTCTTGGCCCTTCCTTCTTTCTTGCTGCTGCTACTTCTCTACCTTCTCGTGCGCGCGCTCTTCCTTTCCTTCTCACTGATTCCTCATTTGCCCCCCCGCAAGCTCGCACTCGCTTCCCCGGCTCCTCCCATTTGGCTTCAAGGGAGGGAAAGAAAAACGCGAACGGCGCAGGCGCCGCCTGAAGCCTGCCTACAGTGCGCATGCGCAAAATTCAGATTCTGGGGTCTATTTTCACCTGCGCGTTTTTTCGAAGACCTGTTGGACTTAAGTGTGACTCCCAAGTTGGCACATCTGCGTCCACTTGTTTTATTCTTATTGCTATTTCTTTTAAGCAAGTTTTATTGACGAGCCATTGAAATACATTTTATCATCATTTTAGCTATTGTCTATCCACTGCAGGATGAAGGCCACTTCCGCATGTTTCCAACCTATATTTTTTACTAAAATATGCATACCTCACATTGGACTCCTCTTACGTGTTCTGTAAAAGCGATTTCAACCATCAAACTCATGGGCTGTTGTATCGCTGCCACATCGTGGTCTTTTTGCCCCATGCCCATTCTCATGTCCGTACCATTTTATACACGCGATTTGGTGGAGATTTCTATTCCACAAACATACTGATCCCATCATAACTGTCTTTAATTTTTTTATTTTATTTTTCCTGCAAAGTACTTTGCTAACCAGGCACTAATATTTTTCTTATGCAATCCAGAGCTATCACAGTAATCTGATTTTCATGAGTACCGACTTAAACCAGGTTCTTGGTGCATTTTAAAAAAAATAACTAAAACGATCATGTATTGCAAATTATTTTCCTCCCAGTTGAAGGGGACGTTACCAGGGACTAAAATGGTACTTTTGTCAGAGTGGTTTGGAGTAAGGGAGAAAAAAAATGGTTATTGATTTAAAAACCTGCAATTTCTACAAGTTATTATTTTGTAACTAAGCCATAAAGTTTAAGAACATAGTTTAAGAACCAAAATAACTGAGTTTATAAAACTTGTTCTAAGCCAGGGGTGTCAAACTGCTGGCCCACGGACCGGATGCATCATGGTGAAACCATGCCCACCCCATTGCCGGCAATGAAAAATAAAGTCGTGATGTTACGAGTCAACAAGCAACATCATGGTTGAGACCTATATATACAAACATGATGGCAACCTGACTTGGAACTTAAGATTCATTGAAACTGCTGTTGTTTAAATTTTGTGCTCAAAGTACTCTATTAAGTACAAAATAATGACTACTGTACTCTTAAAATTCTGTAAACAGAACCTTTCTTAATATAAGTCTCCTTTCTTAAAACATATACAGGTAGTCCTGGACTTAACAGCCATTTGTTTAGCAAACATTTGAAAGTTACAGCAGCACTGAAAAAAATGACTTATGAACAGTCGTCACACTTACAACCATTGCAGCACCCCCACGGTCACATAATTAAAATTCAGGAGCTTTGCAATCAACATTTATTTATGCCAGTTGCAGCATCCCAGGGTCATGTGATCATCATCTGTGACTTTCCCAGCCAGCTTCCTACAAGCAAAGTCAAGGGGGGAAGCCAGATTCATTAAAAACTTGCAGTGATGCGTTTAACAACTATAGCCCCCCAAAAAAAAGGTTGTAAAATTGAGCACAACTCACTTAATAGCTGCCTTGGTTAGCAATGGGATTTCTGATCCCAACTGTGGTGGTAAATCAAGGACTGCCTATATATTATAATGGCAGAGCACTTCTTTCTTGACAATGCAGCTAAGTTTACAGACATCTACATTTTTATACACAAATTTACAGAAGTAACTCCCATAGAGTGGTGTTCCTCAACCTTGGCAACTTTAAAATGCAACTCCCAGAATCCATGCTGGTTGGAGAAGGTTGAGAAATACTGCCAAATATATATAACACCACTTCAAAGTGCAACATTTTCACCCTTATAAATCCATGGAATTATTTTAAGGTTAAAGGCATTCAGAACTGGAGCATAAACCAATTCACATACTGTATAGTATAGCCCAGGAGTAGGCAACCTTGGCTCTTTTATGACTCGTGGACTTCAACTCCCAGAATTCCTGAGCCAGCCATGCTGGCTCAGGAATTCTGGGAGTTGAAGTCCACGAGTCATAAAAGAGCCAAGGTTGCCTACCCCTGGTATAGCCGAAGCAGCTTGGTTTCAAGCTTATGCCAGAGTTCAGGTCCCCCCTCAGCCACGGATTTGGTTAAAAGGCCTGAGGTAACTCTTTGAATTACTAAATATTTTAAAACATGTTTTAACCATAGCTATTAAGTGAAATGTATAGCTTTCTTTTTACGTTTAAATTTTATTTAGCTGATTGTAATGCAATATAAAATACCTACTAGCATAATCATCACAGTAGTTAAGATGCTACATGTGGTGAATGGTTTTTATTCAGGACCTTGGACCCAAACCTCTATAATCACACAACTTCTAAGAAAGAAGATGTGTGTTACTACAAGAGCATCCCCAGCATTTTAGAAAATAAGAAATAAGCCATCTTGTTTACTTGATGTCCACTTTTTAGTTCTTGGCTGTTCTGTCTCTGCTTTTCAGTTTCATACATTCTTAAATCTGGTTAGTGTCAAGTTATATATAAGTGAGTGAGAGCAAATTTCATGGCTTTATTTCCCAATACATGAAGTCCTCGACTTATGACCATTCATTTAGTGACCATTCAAAGTTACAATGGCATTGAAAAAGTGAATTATGATTGGTTTTTACACTTATGACCATTGCAGCCTCCCCATGGACACGTGATCAAAATTTGGGCACTTGGCAACTGGCATGTATTTATGACAGGTGCAGTATCCTGGGTCACCTTTTGTAACCTTCTAACAAGCAAAGTCAATGGGGAAGCCAGATTCACTTAACAACCACATGATTCATTTAAAATTGTAGTGATTTGTTTAACTGTGGGAGAAAAGATCATAAAATGGAACACAACTCACTTAACAGCTGTCTGGTTTAGCAATTGAAATTTTGGGCTCAATTATGGTCGCAAGTCAAGGACTACCTGTATAAACTACCAGCCCTGCCTCTGGGATAGCACTAAGGTAGGCATTAACTGATACAAAGGAGGGCATTTAGGACTAAGGGGCTTCCAGTTTGCAGCCCCTTCCCTTGCAGGATCTAGCATCTTCCTCTGTGTTTATTTATGTTGAAAGGTGAGAGAGACGTGTTCAACGTTTTGCAAGCTTCTGCTGATAGGAAAAACAAAAACATGCCAGACTTATCACCTGAAAGAGAAACTTGTTAAAAAACATAAACTAAGTTGAGAATACAGCAATAGCAAGGCATGGTGATAGAAAATACAAGCTGCTTGAATACTGTACATCACATAAGCCAATGGGGGAAAAAAATAAATCCGAAGATCTGCAATCACCATTTCTAACCAGGAGAGCCATTTGCAAGGCTGAAAAAAAGGCAGAGTTCCAAGACTTGCAAAGAAAATGGAATTTCATTGTACCTCTGTGTATGCTGATCCATTCCTCAACCCTACTGAAGCAACAGCTTGTCTGCTTTTCAAGTTTGCCAATCTGACATACCTTTTCCAGTTTCCCATATCTGAAACACTTTTAAAAGTAAATTATCATACAGATCCTGCATTCCTACACAGGCAAAAAAAGAGCTCATTTTTGCTGAACAAATGTATTGGATTACATATTTGGAAAAGAAATTTGTGGATTCTCTACTTCCCATCATCCCCAAGACTTAGCAATTGTTGTAAGCAGCATCCTGAACTAATATTGATTAAAAATATGGCTCTCGCCAGACTGCCCAATGTTCTGCAAAAAAATGCAGTAATCTTGTGAATCCGGTTTGTGTGTGACTGCCAAATGATTTTAGATTTTTTTTTAAAATTCCCCTAGATAACATCTGAAAGGTGTTGAAAACACTTTGGTGCTCAAGAGCAGTGTGGCAATATTTCTGCTTTTCAGTTATAGCTAGAAGAGAGTTTTCCCCCAAATTTTGTTTTCCATACCTGTGGACTTCCAATTCTTACCTGCATGAACTCAGATAAAGCATCATAAACCCTGTCCTTGATAGTTTAGGGATGATGGGAATTTGAACATCTGGAAGGCACATGCTTGTGAATACTATCCTAAAGAAAGAACTGCCAACTGACTTCTCTTCCAAAGCTTTAATGGCCAAGCCATTAAAAGGTACTCAACCTCGCCTCTCCCTTCTCAGCATGGCAACTATGAAAACAAGGAAAGCGCAATAGAAAATAGGGCTCATCTCCCAGTTAAAGTTGAAGATTGAAAGAATCCTTTAAAAACAATGGTTTTTTTAGGCTAGAGAAGCTACACCGAGATGGGGAAAGCTACTAATAATAGGTGCATTTTTCAGGATGATGAAAAGGAAGTTATGCAGCAACAGCTTATGAAAGTCTTCCTGCTGATCATTCAGCTTAACAGCAGCACACTGCAGTTTCCAAAAGATCTTCTGTTACTCCAGCTTACCGCTGGTTCAGCGGATGTAGGACAAATGTGGGTGTTTCCGTCGGAGGCCGCCAACCGGCACAGATCCAAATATGGGTGTGAACTTCCACCATGTCAAACAGCCAAGCTACCGGTCCATGTTGTTTTCATCAGGTTGACTGTGGAAGCAAAGACGCAGCAAGGTCTGACAGAAATCCAACTCCTCCTTTTTTTTTTTTTTCAAATTTAAAAAAAAAGAAAAGAAAAAAAAAGAATAGGTGATCAGGCAACTTTATACAACTACTAATAAATGCTAAGTGAATAGGTGATCTGCAACTTTATACAACTACTAATAAATGCTCAACTAATGAGAACTTGCAGTGCAGACAGCAATCAGGAACATCTGCCTTGCTGGCAAATCTTCAGTCTCAGTACTGTTGCTTTTCCCCCCCATTCTGCCCAACAAATGACTTTTGTGTTAATTCTTGTAGTATCTATTGTTAGACCATTGTAGCTAATACAGGCAGTCCTTGACTTACAACTGGTTACTTAATGAAGTTATGATGGACTTTCCCAGGGCTGCTTATGACCTGGGAAGTTCTGATATCCAGGTTCCCCCCCCCCTGCAGTGATCACATTTTGGGCCCTCAGCAACTGGCCCACATTTACGGCCATTTGCAGCATCCCCAAATCACGTGATCATGATTTACAATTTTTACTGGAAATTGGCACTTCCAGTTTCTGTCAAAAGTCCGTCGCAATGGATTCGCTTAACACAGTGGTTCTCAACCTGTGGGTCGGGACCTCATTTGGGGTCAATCGACCATTTCACGGGGGTCGCCAAGCAAGGCTGTCCGCCATTTTTTTGTCCGCCATTTTTTTCCTGTTTTCCGGCGGGTGCCTTACCTCCCTTGGGCTGGGCCAGCTGGTGGTCGGCCTGCTCCGTCTCTGCCGCTTGCCAGCTATGCCTTGGCCGGCACAGGGGGCAGAACCACGCGTGCGCGGCGCTCCCGGGCAGGGAAAGTCCTCAACTTACGACCGGTTGGGTAGTCCTCGACTTACGACCGGTTCAGTCCTCGACTTACGACCGGTTTAGTCCTTGACTTATGACCGGTTTAGTCCTCGACTTACGACCGGTTGGGGTCGCGGCATTAAAAAGGTTGAGAACCACTGGCTTAACAACTGCGGCATTCACTTTATGACCACGAAAAGAAAAAAGTCACAAAACTGGGTGCGATGACATGGTGACCTGTTTAACAACGGATGCAACTTACAGCTATAATTCTGGGCTCAATTACACTCATAAATCAAGGACTACTTGTAGGCAAGTCCCAACTCAGATCTCTGCCAGGACAATTTCAGACTGCATTTCAGGGGGGGGGGGGGGGAAGAAAAGACATTTTTATTTGGAAAGCTCCCATGTTAAACAAGAACGAATGATTGTCTCCATAATTTATTAGTTTTCCTTAATTGTGAGTGGAAAAATATTTTTCTTCTTCTTCTTCCAAGAGCTGTATTCCAGCAGGATTAATTGAGGGTGGGAGGCCTATTCCATGCCAAAGAGAGAAATCAGCAGTTAGTGTAACTGGAACAAAACCTGGATCAAGTTGCCCATTTTCTCTTCCTTCACAGAAGAGGCTGCAGGAAAGGGACAGGGAAATTGTTCCAGGCATCTAAAATAACTATCTGGAAAAGCTCTTTACAATTAGGCTGCAGTCCACATGAATTGAGTTAATAACTTGCAGGAGCCTTAGGCAACTGGTAACCCAGCCCCCTGCAAACCCCTAACGTCTATCAGTCTCCATTGGTGCGACCAATGTCTAGGCCTGGGACTGTGGGAAAGTAGACCAAAATCTCTGCAGGGGAGCAGGTGACTGTCCTTATCCACCCTTGCCCAAAGTATTTCCCTGACCTTCAGACTCAAAAAATGGGAATGCAATCCTCTGAAGCATGACTAATAAGCACGACAGTAGTAGTGTCAGCCTCCCAGGTAGACCAGCTGGGAAACATGACCAGATAAGCTAAATCTACTTCACTGTAAAGCTACAGTAATAGAATCTCCTCAATTGCGAGAGTCTAATTCTCCCACCATCTCCTTTGCAGCCCGGGGAAAACTAAGGTGGGTCCCTTCTCTTTCCCTGCCCACTATCCAGCTGCAGGCTATATTGTCACTTATCTGTTTCCTAGGCAGTGTCACCTTGTTCCCAGGGCCATTCCCACATACCATTACAGACAGCCCTCATTTAGCAACTGCCTCATTCAGCAAATTTATGGCTATGAGAAAGTATCTTTATGACCAAACCTCACATTTTGCAGGTCTGTAGAGCAAAGGAAAGCTGAAGTAAGCATAAACAACAGTCATGGTTTTACTTAACAATCATTTCACTTAACCAAGTTGCCAGTCCCGATTGTGGTTGCTAAATGAGGACTACCTATAAGGATAAATGTAGCATCAAATCTACCTCATGTGTACTGGCTGTCTTTTTTTTTTCCTCTTCAACATCCATTAAAGCCCAATTTTGAGTATCTTGTATCTTAAAAAACATTTAATTTCAAACTAGCTTCTAGCAATTGTAAGCATAAAAAAGAAATCATGTATTTAAGTATTACAGTATAAAGCTATGGTTGCTGTTTTAAAATGCTGAAAGTAAGACAGGATTGATATGTGTTATATCTCAAGTGTTTTAGCCAAGCTCTTTAGTCAAAAGTCCTCACAGTGTGACCTGCCTGAAATGAATATAAAATATATTCCCTTCTGGCAAGATTACCATCGGTAGTGATTTAAAAGAAAGGATTAAGAGAAAATTAAAACCAAAAACCAAACAGCGAATGGAATGAAATGAAACAGAATCAGATGAATCATAAAATCCTGATCCATAGGAATGTGGAAGTGGCTTTATCAATGCCATATTGTCTATATACAATACAATCTAACCCATACAATCTATAGAATCAAAACAGCTAACGATTCAACAATTGACATACGGGATACAACAAAAGAAAGTGGAAAAATTGAAAGCAGGGGTAAATTAATAAAAGTAAATAAACTTATTTCAATTACACCATTTTATTAAATTTGTATTTATATATACACACACGTGTGCATACAAACACATCATCTAGATTCTAGAATAGGGAATGCCCAGCTAATCAAAAGAATAAATATATTGGGGAATTGTTTTCCCTGGGTATCTGAAAAGAACAAATCAATTAGGGTTTATTTAGAACAGGGGTCTTCAAACTTGGCCCTTTTATGACTTGTGGACTTCAACTCCCAGAATTCCTCAGCCAGGCATGCTGGCTGAGAAATTCTGGGAGTTGAAGTCCACAAGTCATAAAAGGACCAAGTTTGAAGACCCCTGATTTAGAAGAAAGGAATTGGGCAAGATAGGGAACAAACACAACCAGAGAAACTGACTGATTTCCCAGAGGTGAGGAAGAATGAGGAAGCTGGTCCCTGAGATCCATGGAATATGCCTCAAGAGGCTAGGTTGTGTGTTTTTTTTTAAAGAATGCCTTTGAGGTTTGAAGCTTGGATGGGTGGAAGAGTGATCACCCTACAGCAATGAGCAGAGAATCAGACGTCAACTGCAGTTTTCTAAGTGCAGAATGTTGTGTATTTGTTTTTTGTTTTTTTAAATGCCTTCAAGTCAGTTTTGACTCCTGGCAACTGTCTGGACTGGTTTTCCTGGCAAGGTGTTTGAAGTGGTTTCTCATGCCTTCTTCTTCCCAGGACTGACAGATAATGACTGGCCCCAAGTCTCCCAGCTGGCTTTGTGCCTAAAACAGGACTAGGAATCACAATTTCTCAGTTTCTAATCTGGAGCTTTAACCACTACATCAACCCCCCCCCCTTTTTTTTGTCTTCACAAGAAAGAAATAGCTGAATATGCAATGAATTATTCTATCTGTACTAGAAATAAGCAGAGTGGCATCCTAGGACATAGCTGATCACAATAACTCAAAAATGTAAGCCTTACTCGGACCTATACGTGCCCAGCTGCCTACCTTATACTAAAGATGGGCCACAAAAAACCCCAAAACTACTTTCTGAGTCTGTTGCAAACATGGCCCCGTAGCTACTTGTGCATAAGAAAGGGGCCATCATGTTTCCATCTGGCAACGTTATGGAGCCTGGCAAGAGAAAAGGAAGGGTGGTAGTTAAAAGACAGAACCGTGAAGTTGCTTTTCTCATCCCCTCCACTTACTACATTATGCCAATTGTTTAATTATCAAGCCCGGTGCAACCTAATTGCTATGTTCGTTGAAAACTGTCGGCTGCTAACAGCAGGGGTGGGGAAATTGTCTGTTCCAGGAAAATGCAAGAAAGCCACTTGCACCAAAGTAACATCGTTCTCTTCCTCCCCCTCCCCAATCTTCAATTCATGCTAAAGCAGAAATGACAGCTAGAACCACGATTGGCAATCTGGTGCCCTCTGGTTGCTCTGGATTACAACTCCCACAATTTTTTGCCAGTGGCCATACTGAATAGGACTGATGATAACTGAAGTCCCAAACATCTACAGAGTACCAGGCTGCCTGTCTCAGTTACATAAAAGAAATTCACAAATGCAGCTTGTATTGCATGGAAAGGCACCATCTCCCACATACCCTTTTGGGTGCTGAACAATGGGACCCTACATTTGGCATATACAGCAGGGGTCTGCAACCTTGACAACTTTAAGACTTGTGGACTTCAGCTCCCAGAATTCCTCAGCCAGCAATTCTGGGAGCTGAAGTCCACAAGTCTTAAAGTTATCAAGGTTACAAACCCCTGATGTACAGTATACAGGTAGTCCTTGAATTATGACCAGAATTTCCACTGTGAAGCAAGGCAGTTACTAATTGCATCAAGCCTGATTTTGCAACCTTTTTTTACCATGGTTGTTAAGCTGTAAGAAATAACTACACCTCTACAGAAATGCAAAACAAACACACCCAAGAATGAAAACCTTCTTGAATACAGTTGGGCTAATATAAAAGAAAAAAGGAATGATGTTGCCATAGATGTATACTACTTACCACACAAACAAACAGAGGAAATAGGTGACCTTTTTGCTAATCAGTTAGCTGAGGTGTGGAGGAAGCACACCACCGTAGTAATGGGGGACTTTAACTACTCTGACATCAACTGGAAGACAAACTGGGCATCAAGTGGAATATCAAACAGGTTCCTGACAAATCTACTAAATAACTTTGTCATCCAGGCATATTTTACTTAGATTTCAGTAAGGCACTTAACAAAGTAGGTCATGGTCTACTTCTTGATAAGACAGAACAATGTGGGATAGATAATGCCACCACCAGATGAATTCACAATGGCAGACCAATCGCACTCAATGTGAAGCTCTCAATGGAACTACATCAAAATGGAGGGAAACATACAGTAGGTTATTTCCAGGTTCTATCTTAGGCCCAGGTCTCTTCAAAAACTTAATAAATGATTTAGATGAGGGGTTAGAAGGGGAACTCATCAAATTTCCAGATGACACCAACTTCGGGGGAACAGACAACACTTTAGAAAATAGACTCAAGATACAGAAGATCTCTGAGGTCACCTCCAGTTCTATTCTAATAATAATAGTACCTGCCCTCCAAAAATCCTTCCAATTTTGATTTCTTAATGACTTGTTATTTTCAGACAATAGTCAAAGAGATTTTTCCCGGATGTTTTTGTGCAATTGGTTGACCACTGTGAGAACTGACAGCTGGACTAGATAGGACAGGTCCAATCCAGTAGGCACTGTTTATGTTCTTAAATTACTTAGTAGGCTTCTTAAATTACTAAGTAAGCTGTCAACTACTCCAATAAAAATACATTATCATCCTCATTAGTTACATAATTAATTTTTAATCTTCATCGGAATGATCTCTCCAGGACAGCTCTGTCTTTTTCATCTTCCAGAGTGTTTTTGAAAGGAGAAGCCAATGCAATTTGTAAGGGCAAATATACAAATCTGGGGCCATCATGAAAAAAGCAGCACCTCTTTGCTCAAAGCCTGCTTGCATCATGAATGTGGGGAATAACCAACAGCCTGTCAGCGCAAGGCGGACCCGACTTGAACACCAAAGATATGAATACTGAAACGACTTTTGTTATACAGGTCGTCCTAAGTTAACTAATGTAATCAGGACTGGAAATTTCCATCACTAAGCAACATGGTCATAAAGTGCAGGGTCATATGACTGCATCATTGAGCAGTAGCAATTCAGGCACTCCTGGTTACTCTTATTAACCAAATCCCACCCGGCCGTTAGGCGAGGACCCACACAATCCAAGACATTCCTGGCTTGGTTCCTCTCAGCCCGGAGCCTCAGTAAACTAAAGGACTTCCTCTTCTTAAACTCCTCCCATCTCTGTTCTTTCGGCTTCCCTGCACTTCATCTCTGCTGGCCCTGTCACCCTGCTCGCCCTGCTTCTAAGTCTTGTGGGAAGACCCCACACCATTTGGACAAGGCCTTGGGAAGAAGGCCTGACACAGCCAGCAGTTATGGAGGGTCAGGCCAGGCATCGCTCATCAGCAGTGGGAGGAAAACAGCTAGGGGCAGCAAGGCTGACAGGTATAGGGTGGCCAAAAGGGTAGAGACGGGGGAGGGAATTGAAGTGCCCCTGCTCTTGTTAAGTGTAGGCAGGTTGCCAGGGGGCCTAAATTTTGCTCACGCAACCACAGGGGCACCCAACGGTCGTCACTTCTGAGGTACCAGATGTAACTGCCATTGGTTCATAATTTCAAGTGGTCGCTGAACGAATGGTCATTAACCGAGGGACTACCTGTAGAATCTTGCATCAGTGAATGTGCCTCCCTTCTCCCTGTCCTTATCCTTAAGAGAAATAGGGAAGGCAAAGTCTAGACCAGGGGTAGTCAACCTTGGCTCTTTTATGACTCGTGGACTTCAACTCCCAGAATTCCTGAGCCAGCATGGCTGGCTCAGGAATTCTGGGAGTTGAAGTCCACGAGTCATAAAAGAGCCAAGGTTGACTACCCCTGGTCTAGATCATTTTTTAATATCCCATTCCTGCTTTGGACTCGGATTCCTCTTATCTGACCGTTGTCTCAGGGGTGCCTCTTCCTCCTGTTCCTCCAGGTTATTCTCAGAGCCTATTACATAGCCTCTCCCTGCATGATTGAACAGGATGGGTCAATTCAGACAGGAGAAGGCGCTCTAGGAATCTAGGTTGCAGGCTATTGGCGGCTTTAAAGGATAAAACCAGCACTCTGAATTGGATCCAGAAACATGGTAGTTAGCCCTTGCCAACAAGGTATGGCTGTGTGGTTTCATCATTTTCTTTTTAATATAATTTTAATATGAATTTTGATTCATATTAAAAACAATACAAAATAAACTTAGAGAAAGAGAAGGGAGAAGAAAATGTCCGAAATGGTATAGGGTTTCCTGCCTGAGCAGGGGGTTGGACTAGATGACCTTCAAGGTCCCTTCCAACTTTACTATTATTATTATTATTATAAAAGAAGAAAAAGTGCAGGAAAGAAAAAAACATGAAGTAATGTAGTGACATCCAATCTTTATCACAACAAATATCAACAAGTTTAGTAACTTTTCACTCCTTTTCAGGTTACAAACAGATTATCTCTTCATCCCACACCCCATCCCTTATCTATAAACAATCCATAAAACATAAACATTTCAGTCCTGGGGTCAACAAAATGTTCAGAAAGAATTGCCAGAACTTTGCAAAAAAAAAAAAAATCTTACTTTTATGTTTTTAACTCATATTCCACCTTTATTGTTTTATAAATAACTCAAAGCCACGAACATATCCAATACACTTTCCTATTTTCTCTACAACACCCATGCACGAGATCAAACTGGGTCTTGATCAAATAAGACAACTTTATATTTCTTCCTTTTGCTTCTAATGGTCTTAATCTCTAATTCAATCAAATATTGTTAATTTCTCTTCTATTTTTCTTTGTCCCATTGCACAAAAATTCTTCAAGGGTTTTAAACCTCTTTTGTTCATTTAATAAAAAATATTTTCCAGGTCATTCTCTTGGTTTATTATTTATACTTCCCTTTTAAGTTTTAAAACCTCAGACAGTTTCTTTTGTATACCCAATAAAGCATCGTTTTCCACATATTTTCCTGGCCTGTTATTTGTAGGTCCACTTTCAGTACTTTTTCTGTCTTGTCAGATAAAATTTGCTCCACATCTGTCATTTCTTCACTGACATCTTTTGGACATAATCCATAGAATGAGACATTATTACTGACATTGTTGATTTTGTAGCTACTAACCTCTGGCTTTGTTCTTCAAAGATTTCTCCTTTACTGTTTTTGGTATTATAATATTTTGTGTCATTTTAAAAGTCCCAGGATTAACTGACATCAGTAACAGGCTGGTATTTTTTTCCTTCTATTCAGAATCTGTAAGCTCCCTTTAAACTGATGTCCAGCTTCTAAAATCCTAAAGCAGAGATCTTCAAACTTGGCCCTTTTATGGCTTGTGGACTTCAACTCCCAGAATTCCACGCTGGCTGAGGAATTCTGGGAGTTGAAGTCCACAAGTCATAAAAGGGCCAAGTTTGAAGACCCCTGTCCTAAAGTAACTTACCTTTGTTATGACTTACAATAGCCAGAATAGCCAAAATAAACCTGTTTCCCATGAGAAACTATTTTTATAGCCAATTCCAAAATCTTAGCAATATTCCAAATTTATCTGAATCCTTAATCCATTTATAACTTTCTTAGATCAAATTCTTAGTCTTTTACTCTTCATTTCAAAATCTTCTAAGTTCTTACACTTATAACTTTTCAAATCTATTGTTCCAAAGATACCTAATAACTTTAAAATGGTCAATAACCAATTTCTAAAAGTGATTAGAAAGTGAGGCTTGCAAATTTGGTGTTCTTTAAAAGGCTGTGCAACAATTGCAAGCAAGATGGCTGATCCCTTTGTCTCTCAACACTCAAACCCACAGAAACCGCTGTTCTGCAGTACCCTCACGCAGTGGCGTAGCGTGGGTTGTCAGCACCCGGGGCAAGGCAAGTAATTTGCCCCCCCCTCCACAGTGGGCGGCGACCCGGCGGCTCGGATCGGATTCGCACAGGCAGGGGCAGAGAGCTGCGAGTGCGAGCGCGCCCCCCCAGATGTTGCGCCCGGTGCAGCCGGCCCCCCCTGCACCCCCCACGCTATGCCTCTGCCCTCACGGGAAGCAGCCATTCAGAGGACATGTGGGCAATCACATGTCTATTCTCCAAAGCACCTGAAGGCAGGACAAGAAGCAATGGGTGGACACTAATCGAGGAGAGAAACAACCTAGAACTAAGGAGAAATTTCATGACATTTAGAACAATTAATCAGTGAACGACTTGCCTCCAGAAGCGGTGAATGCTCCAACACTGGAGGTTTTTAAGAAAAGACTGGACAGCCATTTGTCTGAAATGGTATAGGGTTTCCTGCCTGAGCAGGGGGTTGGACTAGATGACCTCCAAGATCCTTTCCAACTCTGTTATTCTGTTCTGTTCTGTTCCTGTCCTAACCTTATCCAAAGAGGTTCCAAGGTTCCTATTCACCTATTCTTTGGTCTATTTTTTTTCTTTAAAAAATTATTTATTAAACATATATGCCCTCCAAATCAGTGTCTTTGCTGCATTATACTTCCCTGGAACCTTTTGTTTTCATAATTTTCAGTCTGGTATAGATGTTTATGTTTCCTCCTCCTTTCTTTTTCTCAGATTTCTTCAGGCTAGCCCAGGGGTAGGCAACCTTGGCTCTTTTATGACTCGTGGACTTCAACTCTCAGAATTCCTGAGCCAGCATGGCTCAGCTTGGAAACCTCTCCCTTTCCCCTCAGCATGGCTGGCTCAGGAATTCTGGGAGTTGAAGTCCACGAGTCATAAAAGAGCCATGGTTGCCTACGTCTGGCCTAGGCCGCTTTATGACTCGTGGACTTCAACTCTCAGAATTCCTGAGCCAGCATGGGCTAGCCCCTCCCCGTTTCTTGAACAACCACCTTTCTGGCCCACGTTATCTTACCCTGCCTTGCCACTCTTATCAAAATGTTCCTCAAGGTACTAGAAAATAACCCAGGCCTACCTGGAATTCTTCTTGATTCTTAAGCAGCTGACATCGTTCCTTTAGCAGTTCCTCCAGTGCTAATTCTGGCTCTTGGCACTCTCGCACACCTTGGGGAAAATCTGTTACCAGGCTGGAAAGTTCGAGGTGGGATACCAGTCAAACAGAGGGAAAGAAATAAGTTTAGAGGTGGGCAAATGGGAAACTAACAATTTGTAAAAAAACAAAAAACAAAACCCTAGGTGTCCTTTATTTATTTAAATAAAAGTTAACGAAGGGGGGAAAGAGAGTAAAAGAAACAGAAGAAAAACAGAGAAAGGAATATAGCAGTGATGGCGAACCTTTTAGAGACTGAGTGCCCAAACTGCAACCCAAAACCCACTTATGCATCGTCGAGTGCCAGGTGGGTGTGGCCCATTGGGTGGGCGTGGCCCATTGGGAGGGCGTGGCTGCGGTGGTAATAGCAGACTGGGTGGGACTAAAAAGTTCAATCAATCAATTCCAACTTTGCAAGATCTTTTTTTTCCCGCGAGAAGTTGAAATTGACTGATTGAACCTTTTTTTTTTTTTTTTTTGCACATGGCGGCGGAGGCCTAAAGCGAAAAGGTTTTATAAAACCCAGCTGAAGGCCTAGGACTGGGGTGACGGCGCGCGTGCCCACAGAGAGGGCTCTGAGTGCCGCCTCTGGCACCCGTGCCATAGGTTCGCCACCACTGGAATATAGCATATTGTATCATGGTGTATATTGATCATATGCATATATGGTACAGACATGGATAAGAAGCTATATTTTTTGTTGGCTGGGAGATAACCAAATGTTTTTCGGTTTTATTTTGCCATTTATTTGTTTATGGCTTCATATGACCTGCTGACTTGCAAAAATGTGAGTCTGGGCAGTGTACAATGATAAAAACAAAACTTGAAATAAAAAAAAGTCAGAGCTCATCAACATGTATTTCACTTTCTGGGATGAGCTCCTAAAACATCTTGTTTTGATGGCTGAGGGAATAGCCACTTCTTCAGAGTCTTCTTAAACGTTTAAGAGGATCGGGGCCAGTCAAATCTCGGGGTGACTCAGAAGGCTTGTAAGCTAGCAGGGCTGGGCCAGCTGAATCTTGGGTTTTATTTAAAATGAAATCTGGAGCCCAAGAAAACACCAAGGACACAGCTACAAATTCACAATATTGTCTGTTGCATTTAGCAGATTCTTCATAAAATAATTTTAACATGATGAAAGATCCCTGTGAGCTAATCTTGGATAAAAAGCCTACTATCCATGTAATAAATTAACAAACACAATCATGGCCCCAAAGAATGGAGAAAGAACTGCTTCCACTCAATGCTCCTGCCAGCCATTCAACAATTATAGTCTCTTCCCTACTCAAATGATAAGCAATATTTTATAATTGTACAATTGCATGTTTTTAAATGTATGTATATATGTATTTCATTTGTAAGCCATCCAGTGTCCACTGGAGTGTGCAGCTACAATAAATTTAAATAAAGAGCCAATTGGGTCTAGTGATGAAGGCACTACGTTAGAAAGCAGGAGACTGTGAATTCAAGTCCCCATTAGCCATGAGAGCCGGCTGGGTGATTTTGAGCCAGTCACTCTCTCTCAACAAAGCCCACCTCACAGGGTTATTGTTGTTGTTGGGAAAATGGGAGGAGGAAAAGTATGTTGTATATGTTAGCTGCTGAGTTATTTGTAAAAATAATAAAAGAGGAAGGAAGGAAGGAAGGAAGGAAGGAAGGAAGGAAGGAAGGAAGGAAGGAAGGAAGGAAAGAAGGAAGGAAGGAAGGAAGGAAGGAAGGAAGGAAGGAAGAATTCAATTTCTATAGCTTCCCAGTTTAAGTCAATGATTCTGGGTGGCTTAAAATACAAAAAACGTATTACCATTCCAAGTATTAAAAACATTTTAAAACAATAATTTAGTTCTCAGCACTCCGTCCACTTAAGTTTTATTATTTAGAGCAGTGTTTTTCAAACTTGGCAACTTTTAAAATGTGTGAACCTCAACTCCCAAAATGCACCAACCAGCACCAAGGCTGTGGAATTCTGGGAGTTAAAGTCCACACATCTTAAAAGTTACCAAGTTTGAAAACAACAATATTAGAGCAATATCTGGACTTTGGCAAATTTCAGTGGTTCCCCCTGATGGCGATCACCCTAATAACTGGTGAAGAGAGGAGAGTCTTCTACAGCTCTTACAATTTTATCCTTGTGGGGGGTTTTTTCGGTCTTCTTGAGCTACCTATTTTACACAGATAGTCCTTCACCTGTTCTGCCAGGGACATTTTCCCCACATCCAAATCCCACTTCTAGTTCGCTGAACCTCACTCCTGTTGATACCTGCACAGGGCTCCCAGGACGTGCTCATGGAAGGTACTGTGTTCAGATCGGACCAGAGCCACCAGCTGCTGAACCATGCCCATGGAACAGAGAGTCTCTGCAGGGAGAAAAATGCAGAAGGTGTAACTCCTCAAATGAAAGTAAAGGTTCCTTTATAGCAAGGGTCAGCAAACTAGGCCAAATCTGGTCCAAAAAGGGACTTATGGCCGTCTTTCACACAACTGTTGATCATGCTCACATGATCAAAATTCAGGCACTTGGCAACTGGCACGTATGTATGATGGTTGCACTATCCCAGTGTCATATGATCATCATTTGTAACCTTCCCAGCCGGCTTCAGACAAGCAAAGTCAATAACGCAAGCCAGATTTGGTTAATGACCGCCTGATTCACTTAACAACTGCAGTGGTTCGCTTAAAAACCACTGGGGTGCAACTCACTTTAACAACTGCCTTGCTTAGCAATGGAAATTTTGGGCTCAACTGTGGTTGTAAGTCGAGGTCTATCTGTGCCTCTTTTTATATGGCTCACAAGCCAACAATGGACAGGTAGGTGGCAGATCACCAGGTCTGAGTTGCAGTCACTCTTAGGGCAAAGGGCGGGGCTGTGGTGCCCTGGGCAACGGAAGCCTATCAGCAGCCTTCCTGTTGGTCAGCTCGTGCTGTCCAATGGCTGCCATGTTTCTGTCCTGCACAGAAACAACAGCTGGGCCTGCAAAGGGAGAGGAGGGGTGGAATGAGCCATGGTGGCGCTGTGGTTAGAATGGAGTACTGCAGGCTAATTCTGCTGACTGCCAGGGGTTTGATCTTGGCCGGCTCAAGGTTGACTTAGCTTTCCATCCTTCTGAGGTTGGTAAAGTGAGGAGTCAGATTGTTGGGATCAATATACTGACTCTGTAAACCGCTTAGAGATGGCTGTAAAGCACTATGAAGCGGTATATAAGTTTAAGTGCTGTTGCTATTGCTATCTGGCCCTTTACAAAAAAAAGCTAGCTGACCCTTGCTTTAGGTCAGTGGTTCTCAACCTGTGGGTCGGGACCCCATTTGGGGTCGATCGACCATTTCATGGGGGTCGCCAAGCAAGGCTGTCCGCCATTTTTTTTGTCCGCTATTTTTTCCCCCTTTTCCGGCGGGTGCCTTACCTCCCTTGGGCTGGGCCAGCTGGTGGTCGGCCTGCTCCGTCTCTGCCGCTTGCCAGCTACGCCTCGGCCGGCGCAGGGGGCAGAACCACGCATGCGCGATGCTCCCAGGCAGGGAAAGTCCTCGACTTACAACCGGTTGGGTAGTCCTCGACTTACGACCAGTTTAGTCCTCGACTTACGACCAGTTTAGTCCTCGACTTACGACCGGTTAGGGTCGCGACATTAAAAAGGTTGAGAACCACTGCTTTATGTGAACATGTGCTGCCCGGCTAAGAATCGGGCTGAGTTTAGACAATATATTTAACCTGTGCTGAATTAACCCATTTTAATGTTCACGTAGTATGATGAATACAGAAAAAAGATGGAGCTTGGCACAACACAGTAGACCACATAGGTACATTTTAAAAAAACAACTGATCTGCTTATATATAGTGTGGGGAAACCAGCTTCTCTTTCTAATAGGTTTCTGTTTTCCAGAAATAAAAATAACCCAGCACAAACATATTCTAGCAACATTTATTTTTTCCTGCCACGTCCCCATGACAGTGCCTTTATGTCATCCCCAATGCTTGAGGGAGACCTAAGGGGTCCTGAGCTGGATGAGTGTGAAAGCAGCATTTCTCTCCTGATTTTCACACCATCCAAGGGCCACTTCAAGGTGTCTAAAATCCATTGGGCTCAATCACCCATTACCAAACACGAAAGGCTGATGACTGCAGTGATTGGGGTCAGAAGCACAAGAAATGGGGCAGGAATGGGCAACCAGAGCAGCACAATTCATGCTGGCTTACTTTCCTGCTCCCCAAGGGAAAGCGTTTTATTTATTTATTTTTTGCTCAGAGCTGGGAAAGACCCTCAGCCTCATATTTCAAAACTCTATTTATAAACACTTATTCCAGGAACAGCCAAAGATTGATCCAAAGATAGTTTCCCCACCCATGTCTTCATTTATTAACAATCTCTGTATATAAGAGAGACAGAGTTGAAAACTACTCAGTCATGAAATTCACCAACTCTGACTAGAAGCAGTCTCCTTCTATCGCCGAGTCTACCAATCGCAGTGAGGACACAAAGAAATATCTGAATCCAACGTGTACTATGCTTACTGATATCAGAGCAAAGGAATAAAATATGAAGGAATATTGACAATGATCAGGGGTAGGCAATCTTGGCTCTTTTATGACTCGTGGACTTCAACTCCCAGAATTCCTGAGCCAGCCATGCTGGCTCAGGAATCCTGGGAGTTGAAGTCCACGAGTCATAAAAGAGCCAAGGTTGCCTACCCCTGACAATGATGCACATTAGTTTGGAACAGCAGGAGGACTTCCTAATGCATCCAACAACTGCTAACAGGGCTTTAGAGGGTCTTCACAAGGTAGTTTCTGTGTGTGATACAAATACAGGTAGTCCTCATTTAACTATGGCCAGTAACTTGGCCGTAAGTGAAGTGGTTGCTAAGTGAAACTATGACTACATTTATGATCTTCAGTTTTCCTTTGCTTTACAGACTGCAAAGGTTGTAAATGTGAGGATTGGTCGTAATTTTTCATCGTCGTAACTGTGAATGGTTGCTAAATGAGGCAGTCACTAAATGAGGATTGCCTATAACCTCCAAGAAGGCGGTCTGTTCCAGCAAGGAATATAGATAACACACTCCAAAGGAAATAAAACAGACTTTACTCCCACCAAGAGCGAAGGTCTGATTTTCTGGTGATGGCTGGTTTTATTGTTGGGAGCAATTGTGATTAGAAACTATGGGCTATCAGAACAAGAAGCTTTCAACAGTCATGACCATAAAAAAAAAAAAACCCACAGACCACAAAGACAGGAATTTTCAGACAGGTAGGTTAAGGAGATCACAAAAGAGGCAATAAAGAATTAAATATTGAAAGATTGGTTAGATTGACACGATTCCTAAAATGAAGTGGAAGAAAGTCAACCAGACACCCAGCAAAATCCTGCTAAGGGCAGCAATTCCCTCCCTGCTCTTTTTCACCCATATCCCAATAAAAAAGACACTGACCTTTCTGCTCTGGATGGTTTATGAGAAGATTCTGGAGGAGGAAGGCCGACTTCACCTTCAGTTTCTGTACGTTACTCTGCATGGCCCTCATGAGTACAGAGAAGCCATCAAGGCGTAAGAATTGCTGTAGGCCAGCTTCTTGGGCTCTTACTAAGCCTGGGAGCAGAAGGAAATATGGAGAAAGAAGGAAGAGAATGAGCAAATGCAGACTGAACAATCAGTTGACTGGACAATGATGGACCAAGATGTGGATGATCCCAAGCGGTTCCCAGTTCAGTTCAAGATTCACATCCCATCCACTTATTTCATCCCCTAAGAGTATAACCAAGAACAAGAATCCTATTACCCAAGAATCAGGCTCAGTAACTATACCTTTACAACATTTATTAAATACCAAAACGGCCATGACACTATACAATTAACCAAAACCCTGGTGTGTCCACTCCTGATGTGCCCTCCAAATGGAGGCACTGGCTCATTTAAATTCTCACCTATCACCTTCAGGACATACTTTCCGTCAATCAATTTTAATATTGGGATTAACCCCCCCAACATCTAATATAAATTCTATTGTCGAGAACATGGTTTTCAAACGACAAATTTGGGTTCCTGAGCTATACCTTCCAAGTTTGCTCCAGGTATCTAGTAATGGTTTGTTTCAAGAAAACTCCAATAGGCCAGGGTATCTTAGTACCACACCACCCTGTGTTTCTGTACAACAGGCAATTCTGCAATCAACAGAAGCATTCTCACTGAATGTGGGCTGCTTTGATTTTTTGCAGCCTGGTTTTAGAATGCTGCTAGCTGCTTTTGACACGTTTTGGAAAGAAAAAAAGAACAGACAATCAAGCTTGAGGTAAGAAAGCCCTTTGTCTCCAGATGATGTTTTGAACTATAATTCCCACAGCCCCTTGCTGTTATCATGATGGTCAGAACCTACAAGAGTGGAAATGCAAAATGTCATAAGGATTGCCAGACTCATGTGTAGGGTGACCCCAGACTCATTAACATCCCAAGTGCTTAATAGTGATAATAACCCTAACTATATTTTAAAAAGTCAAAAACAATTGGATGGTCTCCTAACTGATCAGAAAAGTGGTGCTATGGAAGCATTGAATCCTCTTCTTCCCTTTCCCTATCGTAAATGGTTCCACTACCTGCTTGCTTGGTCATTTATTTATACATTACATACATACATACATAGCTCATATTTCTTAACCACCCACCCTGTGTTATCTAAGAAAATAAAAGCACCAGATTTCTTTTTTCCCTGTTGTAGAGCTAACAGCAATACTTGGAGAAATCTCCTGTATCGCTTTCAGCTTTGCTCTTCGTGCACTAAGCAGCCACCGTTTCCCACTCACAAGAAATAGCAAAGAGCGCCTTGATCCGAACCGCCTCGCTGGGGTCATGATCCAGCAGCCGTAGCAGCTTCCTCATGCAGCCCAGCGCCAGGGCCTGTTCTTGAACCTTGGGCACATTCTGGGCACAGGTGCCCACCAGATGGGCAGCTCGCCAGCGCAGTTCCTGCTCTTCATGTTCCAAGTATCGGTGGGCCAATAGCCGCATGCCCTCCAGTTTGCAGAAATCTGGAGGATGATTGAAAGACTGAAAGGTAGACCTTGACTTACAATCATTTAGCAACAGTTCAAAATTATGATGGTCCATGAAAATGTACTTATGACCTGAATGAAAAGTTCTGACAACCTCCCAACCCCCACGGTTACGTGATTGCATTTTGGTGCTTGGCAACCAGATTGCATTTATGGCCATTTGCAGAGTCTGAAGCTCATGTGTTCAAAATTTGCTGGGTTTTTTTTGCCAGAAATTGCTGTTTTCTTCCAGTTTCTAGCAAAAAAAACCAGCCATTGTGGACAATGGGTTTGTTTAATAACCTCAGATTTGCTGGATGACCATAGTGATTCACTTAACAACTGACACAAAACTAAGTTGTAAAATTAGGTCAGTCGCTTTATGAGCCGCTTAAAGACCAACATGACTTATAACAGTAATTCTGGGCCTAATTACAGTCGTAACTCGAGGAATGCCTCTAACCAAAACAGTGATACTAACAGAATGCCTGCTAACTTCTCCTGGCCCTATTCACTCTGTCGTAGCACAAGGAGAAAGGATACAACTGCTTTCTCAACTTGAATGACCTCCAGACAGTTGGACTTCAACTCCCAGAATTCCACAGTAAATATGCCCATGCTTAGAATTCTGGGAATATGAAGTTCAAATATCATTAATAATTTTGTGATTCTCCAGTGATGTCCACTAACGTATTTTTGCATATTAAGGATTATATCTGCCAGTCAACGAACAGCACCCATGTGCACTTCCCATCCCAAAGTCCTTTGAAGCCCACCCAGATTATATTGCCCAAAGCTGGCAATAAATTGTCCATTTGCAAAGTGCAATTTCTCAGAAACAAAAACAAGCCTTTGATTTGATTTTATACACACAAAATTATTAAAAAGATATCTCTTTAAAAATGCCTTTCCCAAACTGGTCTTTTCAATTTGCATTAACAGCATGGTCATGCTCCCTGTAGCCATAAAATCAGTGTAGAGGCTGGCTTTCCAAAAGTTACTCCCTTTTGAATGAAGCCTCCCGTTACATTTTCTTTGGGAGATGCTGATGAAGGTTTTTTTCTTGGACAAATGACCATATGATGGGGAGGGGAGAGCTGGCTTTGAATTCCTTATCTTGCAATAGCTTGGCTTGCTTGCAAGCATTATGTTAAGTCTATGTTTCCCAAACTTTTAAGAAGACGTGTAGATTTCAACTACTAGAATTCTTCAGCCAGAAGTGCTGGCTGAGGGAATTCTGGGAGTTGAAGTCCACACGTCTTAAAGTTGCCAAGGTTGGGAAACCCTGTGCTAAGTGAACTAACCTTTTAGAAAGATATATGCTTCCTTTGCCTTAAATATCTGAGCTGGAATCGGGAAAATAGTACTGCAATGTGGACCTCTTATGCTCAAACAACAATTTCTCACTACACATATATGAGGTTGTTTCTGTACCTGCAGCGTTATCCAAGTTTTCGCACAACTCTGCCAGTACATCAAGGGCACTTTCTCTTCGCTCAAGGTCTGAATGCGTCTCCTCTGAACTTTCCCCGCGTTCTGCTCCTGGGCTCGACACTTCCAAAATACGCAAACATTCCTTCATTTGCTCTACTTCATCCATCTGCCCACGAAACGCCTCAACCATGGCTTCCTGCAACCACTGTCTCCTCTGGGAAATTGGCCGTTAGATGGAGTGGATAGGAAGAAAGGGAGAGGAATGAAAATCGGTAAATAATCTTCTCTTTTCGTGCTTAGGATGCCTTAAATGCCATATTAGAACTTATTTTTCCCTCAGAGCACCATGCAAAATGGTGGTGGCACAAACAGTTGTCCCAAAGGCAATATAACAACACAATCACCAGTGAGCAACTAATCAGTAAATTACAAAAAAACCAAATACAACTTTAACAAAACTATAATACAACTAAATAAGAATCAACAATAATCCTATCATCTAACTTGATTTGAGAGCAACAGGTCCAAAATTGCCATGACTAGGAACAGATTAAACCCATGTTTTTCTAATTGCTAGGAAGTCTCAGTACTTAATTTAGGATGATAACATCTCATTTCCTTGCTGAGGGCTTCAGAAGTGTTTTTATGTTTAGCTTTCACCTTTCCCTCAATGAATTCTATTAAATGTAATTCTGCCATTAATGCATAGGCAAGGTTTGTTAGATATCCATACTTTCAATTAATTTTTCTGTAATAATATAGGCTGATAATCAACATTACCATCATCATCTAGACCAGGGGTCTTCAAACTTGGCCCTTTTATGACTTGTGGACTTCAACTCCCAGAATCTCTAAGCCAGGCATGCTGGCTGAGGAATTCTGGGAGTTGAAGTCCACATGTCTTAAAATGGCTAAGGTTGGGAAACACTGATCTAAATGTAAAGGTAGACTTTCCTCCAGAAACTCAAAGTCTATACAAACAAATCAAAACAAAACACATGAGGTAGATTCCGCTAACTACCTGAGGCCATCCAGCAAGCTTCCCTGTCTAAGGATGGACTTGAATCCATGTGTCCATTGTCCTTGTCCAACTTCCTACTAGAAAATCTAGAACCTCAGCTTCAGTTGCTCACATCCCCACTTCCTGCCTGGGTAATCAGGAATCCCTTATGTCTAAAGGTTGGACTTTTGATTTCCTCTCTTGATGAGCCCAGCTGCACACCTCATCAGACATCGGTTCCATCTGATCATGTTCGTCGTTGCCCGCCATGACTGCCATCTGGAGCAGCCCCTGCAAATTGCGGGGATGCTCGCGCGGTGGCTGGTTCCCATCTGCACCCCCTTCAGCCATGGTTGGAGAACGTGAAGGCAAGTCACCAACGTGGAGGCAAGTCACCAAAACTGTAAAGAAACTATAAAGAAACAAACAGAAAGAGTAAGTAGAAGGGGGGGAAACCACTGGGAGCCTAACCACGCTTTTACAGGATGAGCCATATCTTTGCTTCAGTCCTTATTTTTCAGAAATACCATTGCTCTCTTTATAAGTGAAACCTTCACCAAAATATCGCAATACAAGTGTTCTTCACCAGAGTGCCAATTTACCAGCCTTAATTTCTCTCTAGAGTCAGAAGACTTAATTCCATTCCTACTTCTCCCACACAACAATCCAACTGTCTGCTAGGGCAGAGATTCCCAATCTTGGCAACTTTAAAATGAGAGAAATGACACGTGGACTTCAATTCCCAGAATTCCCCAGCCAACATGGCTAGCTGGAAAATTCTGGGAGTTGAAGTCTATGCATCTTAAAGCTGCCAAGATTGGGAACCCTTGTGTCAGGGAGTCAAAAAAGCCACAACCATAGCCATAAAATCAAAGTCCCATCTCTTTTTATGTGTGGTGTTTGATGCACCATCTTAACTTTTTTGACCTTCCCCTGCAAACAACTCTGTCAACAATCTCATGGTACACCTAGTACTCACTTCATGGCCACTGAACAAACTCAGCCCTTAATCAACTATTACACAAAAGTGATTATAGAAGACCAATTTCCTGCTCAATGCAGGAATCCAAATTAAATAATCCCAAAGGGGTTCTTTTGCCTGAATACATATTCAGGGAAATGAAGCCACCACTTCTCTGAATAGGTAGCAACTCCATTTTTGACTGAATTTTTGAGTCAGAAGTTACATATCTTTATCTCTTCTAATTTTCAATTGCTTAGAGAATCGTAACTAGCCTTTCCCCACTAGATGTCAGCTGTGCAGACTTTGCTAAAGATTGTTAGGATACTGAACAGGATACTGTCCATAAACAAAAATAACACTTTGGAAGATATAATAGGAAGAACAAGAACAGAATACAGATGAGAAAACCTGTTCTGGAAAATGTGCATCCCACAAGTGCCACCTTATTTATGTATATAACACCAGTGAAGAACTCAGCTCATTTATTCTATTCATTCATTATTTATCCTGCCTTTCTTTTATAAATACCGTATTTATCGGCGTATAACGCGCACAGGCGTATAACACGCACCTTCATTTTAAGAGGGAAATTTCAAGAAAAAAAAAGCGCCGGCTCGAGAGCGAAAGCAAAAGGGGAGGGGGAGTGGGGCTTCGTTCACACGTGGATCCCCATGCTCGTATTTATTTACCGTATTATGCCCCGGCTGGCGGCGGCGGCA